AGATTCATGTTACATTTTTCAGCGGGTGGCTACGGGGCTTGTTAGCGCTCGGGGTAATTTTTAAGTGCAGTGCTGGAGGAGCCCTGACCCTCCCGCACCCGCTGCTGGGCACCGCAGGCCTAGCCGTGCCCGCAGCCCTGACCACGGTGGGAGCCTGTGTCGCCCGCGGGTCACAGCCACGCCAGCGGCTCCTGCTAATTAAAGTTAGTCATTGCCACTTGCAGCCACCACCTACTGATTTCACCTCTGATAGCCAGAAAGATTCACCTTTCAGGACAAGGTCAGGAGGGGCAGAGGCTCTGGTTCACTACGGGGTCGACCTGCCAACAGCACTTAACTCAGCCCTACAGTTCAACCTCTTCCAGATTTGACCTGTCACATTTGGGAGCCGTATTTCTGCCCCAGGTAGCGTTGTGCTCGATGCACAGCCCTCCGACAGCTACTGGCAGCGCTTGCTCCACTGCAGTGCCCCAGCACGGACGTGCAAGGGGGACTGGCCAGGGCGAGGTAATTTGTAGCCTGGCATTGAAGCTGTACCTGGCATCGAAGCAGGATGATGACAGAGATTCAGGGGACAGGGGAGCTCCCCAGAGCCTTTCCAAAGAGAATCTGTCCTCCTGCCGCATTTCTGTCCTTGCAGGTCAAGCTGCTGCTGGTTCTTCACATAGAGCACACTGTGCCACCAGCCCAGGATGCAGTGGAGGGACAAAGCAGATGGTCTCCCCCATTGCTTCCATGCAGGACACGTGACAATGGGGAGCAGAGGTGAAGCCGAAAGGAGTTTATAAACACATTGCAGATGAGCAAGGAACTGGGCCCAGCTCTGTTCTCAGTGCATATGCAACAGGACTCACTTCATTTTACATGGGAGAGAAATACCCTGTGTCTCAGCGAGGCAGGTGGTACTCAAAAGCCACCTAAAAGGGTGCCCTCAGCACTCAAGCTTAGCCCCAGGTACCACCCTCTGGACAGACCCACAGAGCTGCTGTCCTGGCACTTTCCCTGGCAGAGCTAGGCTGTGGGAGGTGACGTGGTCAGTCTGGCCAGCCAGCCACTATAGGGCCTGTGTCACCTTGCAC